CCCCAGTCAGCCGCTCCCCTGTAAGGCAGCTGCTTGTCAGGACTGGCCGCAGGAAGTCTTGTCCCTGTCCCCAGCGGGGTGGGGACCGGTGAGCTGCGTGGTCAGATGCCCAGCTCCCCAATGACCAGGATGATCGCTGCCATTTCATTATCTTGTAAACTGGAAAATTATTATTCATGACAGCAAACTTAAAAATGAAATAATAAGTCTGTCCTTTTAGAAAGCAGATTGGGATGCCAGAATATTCATGAGCTGTGACTTCACGGGAGATTACCATTTGGTTAAGTCAGCAGCAGAGGAATTTAGGGAAATGCGCCTGTCAGTCTGAGGAAACGGGTGATTAATACTTTCCTGTTTGCGGGGCCCCTGAACGGGTGCATTTTCAATGTAATAATTAATTAACCTTGGGATCACTCACATTCCTCGGCTCCTGATGCCGCAGCCTCGGGTGGGGCGCGGCCCTTCCTAGCCCAGTGCCCAGCCCTACTCTTGGGGCCTCTGAGCTGCTGCCAGGGCACCCAAGAGGCTGGGCTGCACCCAGCAGGAGGCTCCCGGGGTCGGGTGGCCAGGGGTGCGGCACTGCAGTGGTGAGTGCCCGACCTCTTGGTGAGTAGGGACCTGGGGGCCCTGTCCTTGTGCCCTCCTGCCACCTGGCCTACTGTGGGGATGGGGTCTTTGGAGATGGTTTGGCTAGGTCTCCAGGTAAGGTCCTTCTGGAGTTAGGGTGGCTGGGGTCACCAGAGCAGAGGACAGGGAGACAGGGACGGGCCATGACCAAGACTAGTGCAGTACAGCAGGAACCACTGAGGTGGACAGGAGGCCCAGCAGGTCTCCTCGGAGCCCCACAGGGACCATCCTTGACCGCTGCCAGGGACCTCGCCCTGTGGGCCGTCCAAGGAAGACAGGCCTATGTGAGAGACGGAACCACTCTCTGGGTTGTGGCCTTTGTCATCCCTGTCACCATTGTCACACGGCTCAGCTCCCATGCAGGGTGGGGTCTGGTGGGTGCTGACGGGACACGGGCAGCACGGGGCCTCCAGGAGCCACAGTGTGGGGCGCTGGCTCTGGGGAGAGCAGGACAAGTGTCCAGCCACCTGGTGTCTCTCTTTAGGCCTTGGCGCTCCTCTGCAGAGAGTGGGCCCCGAGCTGCGCTCACACTGCGTGTCCCAGCTTGGTAGAGGGGCTCAGGGCCCAGGGGCTCAGCTCCGACCTCTGTCTGACCTCTGTCCTGATGCCACTGCCGCCCGCTCCTGTGGCCCTCCCGGAGCCCTATGCCCATGCTGCAGGCTGGCACCTTCCCCAGCCAGCTCCTCTGGGTCCTGCAAGTTTGGGGATGGGACGTGGGGATGCCAGGCCCCCAAGGTCCTGGTCACCCGCAGGGGCAGGGCGTGTGCACCCATTCACACACTGACCCACCACCAGCACGGGTGCCAGGTACACAGGCCCAAGCATAGAAGCACCCCCACCCAAATGCACTCATGCATATGCGTGTGCAACACACACATATAGACACACACACACGCATGCACAGACACACACATGCACGCACCTTCGCCCCCCCCCTTTCAGGCAGGACAACTCTCCTCCGCCCTCTAGTGGCTTTCTTGAGGCACTGCCACCTCCCCGACTTTTTCTTCTTTTAGGCTTTAGGGTTGAACAATGACTGTGTAGACCAGGTTGGCCTCAAATTCTTGATCCTCTTGCCGCAGTCTCTGAAGTGCTGGGATTATAATGTGCAAGATCATTCCCAAAAGTCTTCTCTTTCTTTTATTTTGTCTTCTGAGATAGGCTCTCCCTTGCAGTTTAGGCTGGCCTCGAGTTCACTCTGTAGCTCCGGCTGGTGTTGAGCTCACAACCATCCTCCTCAGCCTCCCAAGTGCTGGGATTGCAGGTGTGCACCACCAAGCCTTTACTTTCCTAATCATTTCCAGCACAGTGGGGGTCTCTGAGGTAGGTGTGGGCGTTGGGACCGGACTTGGGGTCCCTTTGCTGGTGACCAGCCTGCCCAGCCCTGCCAAGCCTGGGCTTGACTTGGACGCTATATAGGGCTTGGGGGTTGGTGCCAGCCGGGCAGGGGTGGTGGTCGCGAGAAGCTTGGCCCCATCCTGGGTGCCACCGCTCAGGGCAGCTGGGGCAGCTCACTCTCTCTAGGCCCTGTGCCAGAGCTGGGCATCTATCTCAGTGCCTGGCTGGACCAACAGAAGCTGGAGTGGGCAGGAGACCCAGCTGAGGGTGAGGAGATGTCCCTTCCAGCATGGGGTGGGTGTTGCCAGGCCTTGGAGAGGGGTTGGGTGCAGTGTCCCAATACCACTGCCGCCCGCTCCTGTGGCCTTCTGGAGCCCTGTGCCCATGCTGCGGGCTGGCCCCTTCCCCACCCAGATCCTCTGGGTCCTGCAGAATCTGGGGACAGGCCACCTTTGTCCTCAAAGCCTCCCCATTCCATGCTTGGGTGCACTTAGAACCTTCTTGCTCAGATTCCTACAGGAAGGAGTGGATGCCGCGACAGCTGTGCTGCCCTGATGATGGCAGCTGGCACTGTCCCCTGCCCAGGCCTGGCTCC